AATCCTTGTATTTGAAGGTTGTCTTAGCTCTTCAAAGCTCCTCACTCCGTAAGGTCCCCGAGCGTCTGCATCATTTCTGCTCCTGCTGTTTATCTTCAGCCCAGGGAATCAACTGCAGATCACTTGCTGTGGTGCTCAGCCCTGTCTTGCTGGTATTGTGTGACTGGGGGCTGTGTTACAGCACAGACTAAAGCCTGTGCAGATTCGTAACGTAGGCACCGCAGTAAGTAGCTTCACGAATGGAAACTGGTGAAACTGCAAAATAAAGAATAGCATAGTGACAGACTTAAGTGGAAAGGGGATAGTTATGTTAGGAGACAGCAGTTAGCAGCTATGAAAGAAACAGGTCTAAAAGGAGTGTTTGTGGTCCGAACTTATAATTAACAGCACTAATGAAATTTACCCTAAAATTCTAGTTCTCTTGGCTGGATTTTTTTTTTTTTTTTAAGGCTTAGTGAACCTTAAAAAGCAATGGCAATGCAGTGTTTTTTTGAATCTGATGTTAATTTAGTGCCTGTGCTCAGTCTGGACCTGCAATTTTAAAATGCATTTGAGATGGATACAATAAGCACAGAATAAATCTCAAGCCTTCTCTCTTTACTGCAGGTGCTCGTACTCTGCAGATTCCCCGAGCCAAACTACCAGATGATGGTGAATATACTTGTATTGCCAGAAACCAAGCTGGGGAAAGTCAGAAGAAGAGTTTCCTAACTGTTCTTGGTTCGTTTTTTACTATTTTCTGAAATAGTATCTATTGCTTTCAAAATGCAGTATTTTGTATATATTTTTATTAAGTTGTTTTTTGCCCTCTCACAAAAAAAAGACAGAAATAACTCTGAGCTTCTTCTACAGTACCCCCAAGCATCAAAGACCATAGTGGAACCTCACTGACAGTGCTGAATGTGAGAGTGGGCACCCCGGTGATGTTAGAGTGTGAATCCAATGCTATTCCACCGCCAGTCATCACCTGGTACAAGAACAGACGCATAATTTCAGAGTCTGCAAATGTGGAGATCTTAGAAGATGGGCAGATGTTACGAATCAAGGGTGCAGAGGTAGGCCACGCTTGTGGAATGCTGCATCTGCCACTACTCTGCTACTATTAAGCAATTATTTTGCTCTTTATTGGTGTATTCTGGTAGCTGTATGTAGGACATTTAGTTGCTGGAGGCTTTTCATTCTGTGAAAAGGACTTTGAGTTGGCAAAGGCTGTTAATATCTCTGAACCATAGCATTAAAATAAGAGTCCATAATAAGTTTTGTTTTGTTTTGTTTTCAATTTATTTTTATTTTAGGTTTCTGACACAGGCCAATATGTGTGCAAAGCCATAAATATTGCAGGGCGAGATGATAAAAATTTCCATCTTAATGTTTATGGTGAGCATACTCTGCATGATCTGCAGTAGTTGTTATGATACTATTGACATTGTAGAGTAGACAATTCAAAATCAGTTTACAAAAATATTTGGTAACCAAACCATTCTTATTGCTTCCATTCAATTTATAGTGCCACCATATATAGAAGGCCCTGAACAAGAGATGGTCAATGAAACTATCAGTAATCCTGTTAACTTTGTATGTGATGCTACTGGAATTCCTCCACCAACGTTAGTGTGGCTTAAGAATGGAAAACCAATAGGTAACATTGACACTTTTCTGCTCTTTTTTCCCCCTTTGGGGCACCACTGTGCTACTTACTGTCTTTTTTGGTTTTTTTCTACATCAGTCCCTAGACAGACTCATATGTCAACTGATTGGGATCTTTGTTTTGTTTTGAAATTTTGGTGGAAAAACGTCTCGAGATGTGTTTGCTCTCTCTGGCCTGGTTTGGAATGACTACATTTTTTACATGTTTTCAGAAAACTCCGATTCTCTTGAAGTTCATATTTTATCTGGTGGAAGCAAGCTCCAGATTGCTCGCTCTCAGCTTCAAGACAGTGGGACTTACACATGTATTGCCTCAAATATAGAGGGAAAAGCTCAGAAAAGTTACATGCTTTCCATTCAAGGTAAGGCATGAGAGTGCAGTGAGCAGAACTGGTTAATAATTGGTGGAGCATGATGCTGTGTCTGTGCTAGAGGCACCGAGAGAACACAAACGTGTAGAAAAGTGGAGAATTGAGACCATTATTTCTATTATCTGCAGCCAGTGGGGAAAGGTGGTTAGAGTAGTACATACTGTTAGTCAGAAATCTACATGAAAAAGAATATTCTTAACCTCTGATTGTAGGAGAACTTGAAAGCAATCAGGAAGGCTGTGTGTGTTTGCTGATCAAAAAAAAAACTGCTGAATGCTGAAGCTACATTGGTTGATTGAGTGTGGAGCACCACAAATATTTGGATTGAGAAGCAGTGACACCTGTTGCCTTTTTTGCCATAGCAAATAGGAGGAGATAGCAAAGAAATACTGGCAGAATTCTGTTATGAAGTTTTTATATTTTCCCCCGCTCAAATGAGAAATCCTTATTTGTTACGGAATTGTCTCCTGCCTTGCTGCAGATCACCCTTATGCTGCAACTGTGATTTTTTTTTTTTTTTTTTTTTTTTTTTCCCCTCTGTTCCTAATGATTCATCCCCATTAATTGCACTAGTTCCCTCCCGTGTCCGGTAACATGCCTGTTGTGTATATATAGCATCTCCAGCTTTCTGCTGTTGTCTCTTCCCATGCTGGCAGTTGCTGGTTGCGGAAGAAGAGGCACCATCAGCTGTGAGCTGAGCATGCTGGCACACCCAGGCGTGATAGCCGGCCATCAGCAGGCCGAACACAACTAGTAACTGTTCATCACAGTGATCGTTCTTCGGGGGTGCTGGTTTTTTGTATGTGTCCTTGCCTGCCTGCCAGTTTTTCCTCATGTTTAGGAATTGAATATCAAGCTGCTTGTTTGATCAAATGTGACTGAAATTACTTGAAATGCTCAAAAGTTAATAGTGGGACTGACAGTCTTGACTTGACAGAGAGCACGACTGTCATCCTTGTTCTTTAGAACAGGCTAAAAATGGCTACTGATTAGGATGGAGTGAGTGTGTGTCTGTCAACAGGAGTACGATGGTCTTGATGCAATAGAGCATTTGACTGGGCAGGAAGCACATACTCAAAGAGTTAAATAGGCATGTAATTGTTGCAGTGTATTGTGATGTTTAATGAAATGGGATTTTGTCATAGTATTATTGTACATGTTCGCATTTGAGCAGATAACTGTAGATATTAAATATATTGGAAAAGATTTTTTGTAATGTTGTAAACTAGATGTTTTAAGGGATGATTAAAGGAGCATTGAATTTATCTTTGCAGAATTCTCTCTAGAAACAATATAATCATATACTTTCTAACCTAGATTTGAATGGAGATACTGCAATAAATGCTAGTACTCAGAAGCTACTGCAGTGTAACTTTTTATGGTTTAGATTATGTTTCTTGCTGATGAATCTTCTCTTCCCTCTGTCATGCATTTCCAGTTCCTCCTAATATTGTTGGCTCTGAAATGCCTAGTGAGGTCAGCGTCCTCCTGGGAGAAAGCATCCAGCTGGTCTGCAATGCCAATGGAGTGCCCAAGCCTGTTACGCAGTGGCTTAAGGATGGAAAAACAGTTGCTAGTGATGATTTCAAAAGAATAAGGCAAGCAAAAATAAACAGGCAGTGCATTCTCTTCTTGTATAAGTTTAAACCTTGGAGGGCCCTGAAGAGGAAGGAGCATAAAAGATGGCCCTAAGGAATGTGTAAAGAGGGCCTGAGTCTTTACTTAACCAGGTTAAGAACATCATCTCCCTCTTTAGCTTCTATAAATAATCTAGTGTACTTTGTTTCTACTTTGATATTATTTTTTTTTTGTACAGAGATAAGTATATGATATACATTTCTTTGTCAGTTAGTAAGTTCCATTAAGTTACTTTGGAGGGGAAAGATCTGAGACATGGAAACATTTTACTCTTGATGCTTTTCATTATGGGTTCTTCAAAAGCCTGGTTGGAATTGAATAAAAAGTTAAACAGGATATCTCTAGGAAAAACTTCCCTGCCTCTCTCTAATAATAATATTTTGCAAAAAACAATGGTTCTCTTGCGGAATTCCCAAGAGGATAGAGGTAGTTGATTTAAATGTACAAAACTGACTGTTTATTTGCCAGGTCATAGGAATAAGTAAACAAACTCACTGTGTTTTATGACCTTTGTTGTAGAGTAACTCCAGATGGCAGCACATTAAACATTTTCAGAGCTCTCAGTTCTGATACAGGAAAATACACCTGTGTGGCTACTAACCCTGCAGGAGAAGAAGACCGAATTTTCAACTTGAATGTATATGGTGAGTTTTCACAGATGTGAAACTGAAATCTGGTCCGTATTCCTATCTTTGTAAGCACTCCCAAGAGAGGGCTAAGAAATGAATGCCTATCTTCAGGGTAATACTGTATGCATGTGTTTCCAATTTCATGTACTGTAGATATCGCAGCATATTACACAGGATGTTCTGTCAATGACAAAATGATTGAAATAGTTGGTAAATGTGTTTTGGGATAAACAGAAATTAATTCCTTTGCTGTGTTTCATAACAGAGGAATTCAGCTTGCATTTGTTGTATTAGTTTATCTTCACTAATTCTAATCTAAGCACATCAGCTAAAACCAGAGTAGTATGGTAGGGAGCTAATAGTTAAAAGTCCCTAGAGTTCAAAAGAAAAATGGTAGAGGTTTGGATTAAATTCTTCTCTTGCACAATTTGACAATAGTGAGCGTAACCCTTTTTTATCAGTGTAGAGAGTGGACATTTTAATTTGTGAAAAATGTGTTCATGAAGTACAGTGACTAATATGAAAGAGCAAAGAGTTCTGCAGAGGCAGCGTTCCAGTGGCGTGTCTGTCCCAGTTATGCAGAGACTCAGAATCAATTGGAATATGACCATGAACAGAGTAGCAAGAGATTACCTTTGGTATGATAAATAACAGTACTGAATGACCACATCAGATCTTTTGGGGGCAGAATGGTAGTACACAGCAGTGGAGACTTTTTTGGTGAATTTGCATTGGTTGAGGTTCAAGCAATAACCAACTTAAATGGTCTTACCTATGCAACTGTCATGGTGCTTGGTGGGATCTTAAGTCAGCCAGAGCTGGGAGCTGCATGTGGCTGGGCCTTCTTTATCTAGTGAGCCCCCTCTTGCCCCCAAGACCATGGTTTTCAAACTAACATATAAACCCAAAAATCAGTTCTGTTACAATAATGAGCCAGAATACTTAACTAGGCATTTTTAAATTTTCTATATTTAAAATTTAAGTTAGCATATACACCTAGAAGTTAATAAACTAACTTTCCTCGTGTGTGATTTTAGCTTTCACTTTATTTAAGACTTATTTAAGTAGGTAAGTTTGAGGGACTTTGCAGTTTGCTGCCACATCTGGCCCTTGAGCGGTTGAGCCCATCCCCTCTAAGGCTTGGCCACTTGCTCCTTCCTGCATTGTCATTCTCTCCATGAGCTTCAGGCTCTGAGCTCCCTCTTGTTTGCCACAGCCTGACAAATCAAAGAGATCATTCTACTATCATTCTAAGGTTCATCTCGTTTTAAATATGTAAATGGGTATTTATTAGTGCTCAATATTATTATTAGAGGATTTACTGTTTAAAAAAGTGGGGAGCTTCTCATTTAATTGCCTGTGGGGCATTAGGTGTAGGATTTCCTGCAAGGTAACACATGTGGAATGATTTTAAGAGCCAGTTTTAATATCTTCCTTTTCAACATCTGCAAAATGTAGTTCCTCCAATAATAGCAAATAATAAAGATGAACCAGAGGACCTCACTGCCCTTTTGGAGACCTCCTTAAATATTGAATGTACTGCTACTGGAACCCCACCACCACAGATAAACTGGCTAAAGAATGGCCTTCCTCTGTCTGTCTCCTCCCAAATCAGGTTGCTGTCAGCTGGACAAATTCTCAGGTTGGTTTTCATCTATTTTAACTAGCTGAGTTTTCTGTTCTCTTTTGCTATATCAGCGTATTCTTGGAAGCAAGAATAAAATTTGATCTAAGCCATGCCGTAATAAAGATAATATATTTCATTTACAGCTTGCTTAAAATTATTTTCTCTTTAGACTTGCCCGAGTGCAGATATCTGATACTGGAGTGTACACTTGTGTAGCATCTAACAGGGCTGGAGTGGACAACAAACATTACAACCTTAAAGTTTTTGGTGAGTTGCTCTGAAATGCTTTCTGTAAAGAATCTTATTTCTTAATTTCTTAAACCTAATACTCGGTTTTCTTTCTCACCACCTCAAAGTTGCAGACAGCCACAAGTATATCTTATATAGGTAATCATTTGGGAAACATATTTTCAATGCGTTCTTTTTAATGGAAAGTGTTTTAACCCTAGAAGAATCCTTACTTGAATTGGCACCCGTAATCTGTCACAGGTTTTTTAGAAAGAAGAATAATATATAATTTCTAAGTGAATTTTACCACGTGCTAAACATGAATGTAAGTGGGGAAATGCGAAAGGGTAGTTGCATTACAAATTTTTTATATTTAGGATTAACATCAGGGTTGTATTCTGTATGAATCGGATCCTTGTTTCTCGGCAGTACCACCAAGCTTGGATAACGCAGGAGGAACAGAGGATGTGACTGTAGTAAAAGGCAGTTCAGCTTCGATGCAGTGTCTTACTGATGGCACTCCTGCCCCCACTATGTCCTGGTTTAAAAATGGACATCCTTTAAGCCTCGGAACTCACCTGACGTCAAGTAACCAAGGAATGGTCCTTCATTTTGTAAAAGCAGAGATTGGTGACACAGGCAAATACACTTGCATAGCATCCAATGAAGCTGGAGATACCAGCAAGCACTTTTCCCTAAAAGTGCTGGGTAAGTGTTAACCTTTCAGTTGAATAAAATGCAAGTAGTAAATGAGTATCTACCCAGGACCACGATTAAAAAAATCTCTAGGGATAAGGAGTATTTTCAAGAAACATTTACTGTGATAAATTAGAGAAATAAGGAAATGGAAGATACCTAAAGATGTGTGAATGTGTAATATAGTATATATTTTTACCCGACGTTTCCTGAGTAGTGAAATATGCTATAATTAATAGTAAACTAATTTACAAAGTAATTTGGTTTAAATGAGTAACTTTGGTTAGTAGAAATTCAGTTTGACAGGATGATAGCACACCTGAAGGCATAGCTGAAGGTACAACAGCTAAAGGGCTGATGTTATATAATATATTTTACCTGGGATTATGAAAACATTTCCTAACCAATAATTCCAAGTCATAAAATATGCAAATTAATATACAGAGGCAGATGGAAATTATGTGAGATACTCAGTGAGTTCATGACACAGTCAGAAATAATACCAATGGAGACTAATTCTACAAACTCTAACCACAAGGCTGTGTATCAGGTTTTATAGGCTTTTTGAGTCAACAAAGAACTTGAATGTTTTTCCTTCCACAGAGCCACCTCACATCAACGGTTCAGATCAACCAGAAGAGCTCTCTGTCATTGTTAACAACCCCCTTGAACTTCTCTGCGTCTCTTCTGGCATTCCAGTCCCTAAAATCTCATGGATGAAGGATGGGCGCCCACTTCTACAGAATGATAATGTTCATGTCCTAAGAGAAGTCCTTCGAATAAACAGTGCTCAGGTAAAGTATTTGTTTCAAAACAGGCTCAGTTTTGCAAACCCTGAAGAAGTGCGCAGAACTGTCTGCTATTAGGATCATCCTAAGAGATGTCCTAAAAAGCCTCTATAAAGTCAGGCACCTGTATTTGTGGTTGGAGAATACATTTTTCAAGCCTTTCCTTGGAGTTCCCCATACAGAACAAGCAGTAGTATTATGGGTTGAGAGTGCCCGAGCACTTCTGCCTCTTCTAAACATTATTACTTCAAGTTCACTTCAGAGTTCTTTAATTATTTTTTTTTATTTATTTATTGGTGCTTCTTGTTACAAAGCAGAATAACCAATGCTAGGGACTCGTCTTTTTCTGGGGTTATTTCTGGTTTTAGTCTGTGTCTGTAATCTGTTCTTGCTCATTTCCTATGTATTTGACTCTTGATACTATCTCTTGGTTTTCTTCTTTTGTGTTTGATAGTTCTTCCCCAGCCTTTCTTACTTTTCCATTAGCTTGGATTTTCCCAATATCCATTTGCTTCTCACATGTATAAGCCATAGATTAGAGAAAAGCTGCATTTGCAGTCATCTGTGTGCAAGTTAAGAAAAAATAAAGAGAATAGAAAGACTTTCGGATGAATTCAGATAGTAAGAGTCTTTAAAAACCTGCACCAATAAGCTAAGGCTGTATTCAGCCACTGAAGTTCACCTAACAGAAGTGTGACAGTGCTCGGGTCTGATTGCTGCTCATTTCATTTGTAAAGCGAACACTTCTTGTCTTTACAATGAAGAGTTTATAGGCAGGAGAAAGCATAAAGGTATTAATGAGCATGCGTGCACAAAAAGATTGCCTTAATACCTGGAACTGATCCTTGCATAGATGGCTACCTATAGCCAGTTCCATATTTATTGATTACCTGTTGCAAAAAGCCTCACAAAGAGAAGAATTCTTGCTGGAGACACGTTATCCAGAGAAATTTTTACAGGGTCCTGCAACTCCTAAGCCATCTCTGTACAGTCCTGCCTTCTTCCAGGTTGCAGTGTTACTTCAATTTAAATCACCACTGCTTTTTGTGAAACCTCCCAATAGTAAATTAAAGAAGTTTTGAAGCACTTTATTAATATATTTTCGGGCATTTCTTATTTATTGTGGTTGTGTTTAAGTGCTGCCTGTTATATGGTGCTGTCAACATTTGTATTTCACAGTTTTTCTGAATTGTTCCCATATTCTGAGTGTTCTGCTAACACTGTTTGTGTTTCTAGGTGGAGGACACAGGAAGATACACATGTTTGGCATCTAGCCCAGCAGGAGATGATGATAAGGAATACTTAGTAAGAGTGCATGGTAAGTTTCATTTAGGAAAAAGAATTATTCTTTCAAACGATAAACTACCAAGGTATGTGTCAGTATCTCATTTAACAAGTTACGTATTACTAAAGAACTAGTATGCATTTTGAGAAAGTGATATTGCACCATATGATCATAATTAACATTTCTGAATAAGGGTAACTATTTTGAACATGATACACAGTTAAAAGGGAAAGTTCCACCTGATGCAACTGATTTCTATTATAATTCCCATGTCTTGTATTTTGAATACTGAGGAAGGTTATGGATATCAGTATATCAGTATTCGGCTGGATTGAGTTTATTGTGCTTACTGACAAAGGATGTGAAGCATACTGGTATCTATGATTGTCTTAGTTTTTCAGTAGAAAAAGGTAAGAAGCGTATTTGGAAATGAATACATAAAATGTAATGACAGTAAAGGAAGTATAAATGGGACTTCTGCAGCGCTACAGTATGCCTCGCATTTCTTCTTGAGATTATAACTCCTATGTTTATTAATAGTTTATGGAACTTTGATCTCTGCTCTATCTGGCTTAAATGCTGGTATCACTGAGAATGGACGCTAGTTTCTGTCACAGTAGTTTCCAGTGTGTTGACTTAAGAGACAAGTTCACCAGTACAAATGTGATATATTTAACACCGATATTGAAAAATAGAACTAACTAATTATACTGTAGCTTTGCGTTTATTTTAAACTTAAGAAATAAATCAGAAATTTTCAGTGAATAATTTTAATGGTAGCTCATATGTGTGGTATTTATTTTTTTTCTTAATTTTTGTAACAGTTCCTCCTAACATTGCTGGCACCAGTGGTCCACAGGACCTCACCGTGTTGCAGAACAGACAAGTTATACTGGAATGCAAGTCAGATGCTGTGCCACCTCCAACAATCTCATGGCTTAAAAATGGAGAACTTTTAGAGGTACAGTGGTTACATTATTTGTACTAGTCTTTTGCTCCCTTTATTTTTTTTACACACGGTGCTTGAGGTTTCTTATTCTGCTTACACGCCCCTTCATGCAGTCCAAGTTATGGTGCCTTGAATTTGAGAGAAGCTGAGTAGCCCCAGTACAAATACAGTTAGTCCTAAATCAGTACCTGAAGCTAGCAAGCATGTGAAGTGGCCATCCCGCTGTTACTTGTTCTTTTTTCCTTTAGGGGGATCCCTTGCTCCTCCTGGATCCTCTGAACAATGCTAGAAGCCTTCGGTATACTCCTGAATGGCTTCCCAGGAAAGGTAGCTGAGAAAAGACTACACTATATGTTTCCTTTGGGTATATTATGCATCCTCATATTCTAGCAGCATTTAGAAAGGAATTAAAATTCTTAACATTGGAAAAAAAAAAAAGAAAATGGGTTGCTAATCACCACAGTTTTGTATCAAATGCATCTTTTTCACTCAGAATTCCATGCAGTGTCATGTTAAGGCATCGAGTCTTTGCTGATTGAGAGACAATTAGCAAGATGAGGGTGGTTTATAAGGAAAGAATTTTTACTTCCCAGCCTCTTCCTTGGGATCACTCAGAGACCAGGTGCTTTCCAACTGAACAATCTAAATTCAGTTATTAACTGAACTTAACTGATAATTTTCCCTCAATTGATCTTTATTCATTAATAAAGAGGAAACAAATTCAGCTTATGAATTGTCTCCCGTAACTGTAGTCCATCAATAGTCTTCACCCAAAATTCTGCTTATTTGCTTTCCTTCTGACATGTTGTTCCTCAGACTCTTTCTCTTAACATAAATTTAGGAGAATGAAATATTAGTGGAAGAATTAAGAATATTGTGGGCGATTATGTCTTATTAATTGCTTCTAGGGAATATAGTACAAGAACTAGCTAGAAACAAGTTTAACAGAAACACCCTTCTTCTGAATGGTTAATTCTTTAATTGGGTAGTGATTGTTTTGGTTTTTTTTTTTGTTATGAAAGCAAGGTTGAACAAGGCTTGGAAGTTAAGTACGTGAATACTTTCTGCCTCAGTCTTCCTTGGAAAGCTTGTGTTTTAAAAGCAGTACTTAACACAATTAAGCTATTGAAAGAAGCCACTGTTACAAATATTCCTCAGAAAACAAAGCAATAGAGGAATGCTATGATAGGCATAAGTACTTAGCTGATAATCTGTGAATTAACTTTTGACTACTCTCTCCTGTTGCCTCATGAAGTCATGTGAGGCCTGAGGCATCTTGGTTGCTCAGTCCCCTGTCTTTTGATTTCTAATAGAGTAGGGAATTTCAATCTCTAGAGTTAGGTCTCTTCCAGCACTAAATTCAAGTTATAAATTTAGTTCAGACATGTCACTCTTAATTTGTCACATGTACTTTAAGTAGCAGACTTAGGTTTATTCTGGTTCCTGCCATCTTTTTCATTCTTCAGCTTAGCTTATATAAATATATACTCCAGATATCAGGAAAACGTTAGTGTCCTCTGAACGTCTGGTTGCTTTCTCAACTTCAGAGAAATGTAATAGCTTACTAACACTAAGCTTTGGGAAAGAGCTCTCCTTGGGTGTGCAAAGAGAGGTGCTCTGTGGCATATCATCCTTCTTATTTTGGAAAAATTGAGGTTTTGCTGTGACAAGAGAGGATTGGAGAAAGTCAGGTTTTCAGGTTGCAGTGTTATTTCGATTTAAATCATCGCTGCTTTTTGTGAAACAGCCTTGTGGTGGAGAGTGCTATTCATCCTGGTTTTGTTGTCTTCCACTGTGCAGATTTTGAGGTCTATGGTAGAACTGTGTATGCTTAATGATGTAATTGTGCAGCACCACCATTTTTAGTAGCAGAACCATAGCCTCTAGAGCTTTGGAGTCCTTGCACTCTTCATTGATTTGGAAATGCACATTGAGTGTTAAGAAAAGTGTATAGTAGCATCTTGACCTAATCTGTCTTTATTTAAACACTAAAAGAATTTCTGAGTTTGTATTTTTTCAGAGAGGTTTTCTGATATACCCTGAGTAGAGCATAAAGATTAAATGATAGCTTCATTGCCTGTCTTTTGTCATATATATATATATATATATGCTTCTGTGTTTAGAAACATAGCACAGGCTGCGTACTCAGTGGGAAATACCAATTACCCAAAATCTGACTGTCTGTCATCCACTCTGGTGGTGAATCATTTCCACCTCTGAGGCTCCAGCAGTGCTGTTTATTCTGCCCCAGTAGACTTGCTGAGTTGGTGCCTAGTATGAGACCTGTGTACTAGGGTACTAGAGCAGAGAAGTGCGGAACCAGAGGAGTTTCACCTATCTGTTGTAATTGCTATTCTCGGATCTTCTAGCTGAAAGAGTAGATGGGAACGTCAGCTTTCAATTTCATCTAAAGTGTGGGTAGCACATCTGGAAAAGTTTGAGTTTCTGTTCTTTTTCTACCATTTTTTATCCAGTCAGGTTTTTGAATGCTTGTAGTCGATATTACTGTCAGTCATTTGTGCAGGTCTGATCCAGACTGATTGTGGTAAAAAAAGCTTTGACTTCAAATAGTTGCCTAAGCAGGTGCTCTAGAGTCATTGTAGAGCTGAGAAGAGTGGTAACCTCATTCAGAAAAGCTGGCTAGCAAACTTAGTAGGATAAGTTTATTGTATTTCTTCTGCCTGTAGTGTGTGTGGATTTAAAAAAAAAATTTAATTAATTCATCCTGTGCTATTAGCTGCCCCTTTCCATAAAAACTCAAAAGCCCTTTGGCTATGTAACCCCAAAAAGCTGTCTTTATTCAGGCACAAGTCCAAGTCGGGGTTTCAAGGGACATCAAGCAATGATAATTTTTTAAAACTTTGTTTACCCTATTATCTTCATCAATGTAAACAAAGTTAAGCCAGCCATGAAATCAGTCCCCTGTTCATCTTCTGCTTTCTTCCATGGCTTTTATTACTCTGCAACAAAGAATGTTCTATCTTCATAAAGAGAACAATGGTAAAGTTAAATTTGTCAAACTCTCTCTCTATTTCCCCTTAGGGAACTCCTCGAGTTCGAATCCTATCTAATGGGCGATACCTGCAGATCAATAATGCTGACCTCAGCGATACAGCAAGCTATAAATGTGTGGCAAGTAATATCGCAGGAAAAATGACCAGGGAGTTCACGCTAACAGTACATGGTAAAATCATGGATCCACTCTTGTGCATTTTGACATTTGCATGGTATTTCTGCAGGAGTTCAAGTGTCAAGAAAGAAGCATGAGTATTCTCTTTTTAGCCAAGTGTTGGGCACTTAGGCTGTATCTAAACTGTAGGACCGTCTGTATTACCTTGTGTGCTGCCACCTTGTCCCCCACACCAAAGGACCTGTTGGGGACTCACAAGGGCTCCCTTTCCATCTGTCTGTACTTGCTGCTAATGGAGGGTACTGTGCATCTAGCCATCATCCTAATACAGAGTCAGGATGCATCCAGAATGAATGCCCAGATTCAGAACTAAAAAATGCTCCTGGACAAATTCAGAGAAGTTCTTAAAACCATTTGACTGGCACCTTGGGGTACGAGGTTTCCTAGCTGGATTGGCCACCAGATTTGCAAGTAAAACTGTGGCGGCTTCTCTGTACCTGTAAGCAAGAGTTAGTAGGAAGATAAGACTTGAAGGGCCTTGATACCTGTCCTGTACTACCATAGGCCTGAATTTAATTTTAAACCTATTTATCTAATCTAATGAGAAACTATTCTATTCTCACACTTGGGTGATTATAAGAAACTTTTTCCCTATTTTTGTTCTGTTCACAATCCAGTCATATGTAGCTGCATTACGCTGTGCCACCGCCAATGACTGTCCTTACTGAACCAATTAAAAGCCTTTTTTCTCCTTAATTTATAATTAGGAAGCAAGGATATCACCACAGCCTTATTTTGCCGAATTAAATAAGCTGAACTCTTTTACTGTTTTAGCTATATGATAACCTTTGCAGTGACTTGCAAAGATGATCTTTACAGTGCATTTCAGACAAACTTTCTTTTTCATTCCCTACTGCATCATGGCAGTTATCGTGCGCTACGCAAAACGGTAAGAAACTTGTTTCAGTCTTTGCAGTGATCCTCATACCTGTTACTGCATCTGTTTTAATGCGTTTAGTTTCAGTCATTGCAGCATAAAGATTTATTTCTGACATCATCAGCAATTTTTCCCTTTACAGTGGCTCCTACAATCCGAAGCAGTCCTCAGACTGCTGTTGTGCATATAAATGCTTCTGCTGTGCTGGAGTGTGCTGCAGAAGGAGTGCCAACCCCGAGAATTACATGGAGGAAGGATGGGGCTATTTTTACTGGAAACAATACGAGGTATTGTCCAGAAGTCAGCATAAATATTCTTCATTGTTTTTTAAGAACATATTAATTACAGAAAGCTTAATTAGACATCTATGACTTGTAAATTAGTTTTGTTTTCAAAGATCAGAACTAATATTTTACTGCCATCTCAAATAGACCCAAATGTGGAAAATAGGATGATAGAAACAGTAATACAAAGGAATTGTTCTACAGAAGTTTAACAGTACCGAAAGTCTCATCCTTTTATTGTTTAGAAGGAAAAAAAACTCCTTTGACAACCAAACATAATAATAATTCTTCTGATATTAAATATTCTGAACAGTAAATGTGCAATATCTCTGTATTTATTTATATGTGTATATATATGTGTGTGTGTGTAGTTTTGGGATGAAGCCAAGCAATTTCATGCAGACCAAAAGCTATTTGTGTGTACTCTCTAATTTCTAATATAAAAAAACTTTCTGTGCATGTTCTGGTATCAACTTCTATTGCAGTGAATGTTTTCTATCTTCTGATTGTTTTAAGGAGAAGTAGTTTGGCATTTTCTAGAACTGAGCAAATGCTAAAGAATTGAGTTACATTTCAAAGAAATATGAAAATGTACAAGCATTAATTAGGGTTTTTTAAGGTTAAACAAGAAACCGTAAAAAAGGGCTTTTGGATATTTTTGGCAAATCTGTCATCATTTATGTGCAGTCGCTATGTCAACTAGATTTCATAAATTCTGTGGAAAATAGATGTGCTGGTGAAGAGTGAAGTCAGAATAAATGCAGTGAATGAGAAAACTCTTGTGTGTCCAAATTAAGACACCATGTGTTTAGACTATTTCTTGTGTACGTTGAGTCATCTTTTCCTTTTGCACTACCAGGATAGCCTGCGGTTCTGTTGATTGGAGAGTAGGAAAAAATGTGTGGCTTTGTTTCAGGTATTCTATGTTAGAGGACGGATCTCTACACATCCACTCGGCGCATGTTACTGACACAGGAAGATATGTGTGTATGGCAACCAATACAGCTGGCACTGAACGCAAGCAAATTGATCTGCAGGTTCTTGGTAAAAGTTTTGGGTTTAGATAAATACATGTATTTTTACAAGTCTGAAGTCCAGTTACATCATTTTCCTTGTTCTGCCAGATGCAATTTTAAGTTTAGCCCCTTTTTAGCTGCTCTGGTTTAAAAAAAAAAAAAAAAAAAAAAAAATTATGGCCTTAAGAATACAACCCAAATGTTCATTAAAAGAAAATAGTTCTTCCTTCTGCACTGGAACTAGAAAGACTTGACAAATCCCATGCTATGTGTTTAGTAAGTTTACTTCTGCCAAGTTAGTCTTTATAAAAATCAAGTAAATGCATTCAGGAGGTTCAGCTCTCTATATAGGTATGAGGGAGGTGTGTGTGCATGTGTATATAATTATTCTGTATAATTAGGCTTTGTTTGTCCTTAGTTCCTCCAATGATTGCTTCTGGACAAACAAATATTACGGTTACTGTAAATGTGCAGACCACTTTGCCCTGTGAAACCACTGGAATTCCCAGACCAGCAGTTAGCTGGAAAAAGAATGGGCATCTGCTTAGCGTTGACCAGAACCAGAATACATACAGGTGAGAGATGTTTTCTTTTCACCATGGGTTTAAAGTTTTCAGGGGTAATTTTGGTGCTTTAAAAATCTAGCCATGCTTAAATGTAATCTTGTATAGCCAGCAAATTCAGTGGTCTGATTACCTGAGAAGAAGTATTTCAATGGCTTTTAATTCCTTCTCTTTCTTTATTCAGACTTCTATCTTCAGGTTCCTTAGTAATCATTTCTCCCACTGTGGATGACACTGCTGTCTATGAGTGCTCTGTGTCAAATGATGCAGGAGAAGATCAAAGAGCAGTTGAGCTCACTGTTCAAGGTAGAGGGGATATTGCTATTACGTGTGTATGTCACCCAGAATTTCTTTGGGGCATTCCAATATTGAGATGAGATTTTTGTCTCATTCTTCTATAACTGATATCCCTATATGCCTGGTATTCCTAAGAAAGATAAGTAACCTTTACACTCATCTTCATTTATAGTGCCCCCATCCATAGCAGATGAAGCCACAGAATTTTTGGTAACGAAGCTGTCTCCAGTAGTAATTTCCTGCACTGCGTCAGGGGTTCCTGTCCCCTCAGTTCATTGGACCAAAAATGGCATAAAGTTGCTTCCCAGAGGAGATGGCTACAGAATTCTCTCTTCAGGTATTGTGTGTGACAGGAGCTCAGCTGCAGAAAATGAGTGAAAGGGTGTGGTTGTGCACACCTAGAAGTAATTAATTAAATACAAACAATCCTCCAAACAACCCCTCTCCAATTTCTTAGAATAACAATATAGACCTCTTAAGACGGATGCTTTAAGAAAGTTTTACTGTGAATACAGGATAATACTGTATGTTGTTATGCACTCTTGCTGTTTGCTGCAGGTGCCGTTGAAATACCTGCTGCTCAGCTAGCACACGCGGGACGGTACACCTGCGTGGCCCAGAATGCAGCCGGCTCGGCTCACAGACACGCCACTCTTCATGTTCAGGGTAAGATGGGAAGCTGAAGAGCAGGTGTGTTCTGTTAGTAAACATTGCCCATTTAATACATACGTAGGCTTCAGAGTAATGGTGAGGCCAGAGTGGACCATCACAAGTCGTGTCTTGCTCAGCTGAATTGTATTGTGGATGCGCTGATGATTCACATAGTCACTGCTCTGCATGTTACAGCTCTGGTACCTTGGATAGAGCCCCCCCCGTCCATGCTGCTCTGTTGTGTTTTTGTAAGATTTCTGTTTCTTTGCTTTTAGGTAGGTTAAAATATATCTGTGATGGCAAATTGCATGAAGGAAGGCCATATTCTAAACCTATACTTATGCTAAGCACATTTGTCGTATTTAAGAGCTCTTCCACTGAGCTCTTCATAAGGATGGCAGAATATAGCCATTGTTAATTCTCAGACTCTCAGGTTATGTGATTTTTAGTATCTTCTATATCTTCTAGCTTTGAAGGTTAAGCCTATTGCATTTTCTTTACTGTGTTCCACAGAACCACCAGTTATCCAAACTCAGCCAGGGGCACTGGATGTCATTGTGAACAATCCCATTCTGCTGCCATGTGAGGCGACGGGTACACCTCGACCCATAATAACATGGCAAAAGGAGGGCATCAATATAATTCCAACAGGTATCCTCTTAAAGCCTGTAACTTCAGCCTACTTGCTGTAACTCAGAAACTTATTTTCTCTTTTCTCAATATTCAAACTTAAATATAAGGAACACAAAACAAAGAAGTGTCATGCTTTGCTTACATTTGTTTTAGGCAACAGTTACATGGTTCTTCCCAGTGGCAGTTTACAGATTGCAAAATCGACTGTTGAAGATGCTGGCACTTACACGTGTGTTGCTCAAAATCCAGCTGGCACTGCACTGGGGAAGATCAAACTGAAAGTTCAAGGTAAATAATCTTTTAAAGTCTTGTAGTGATTTACGGACAAGAAATTTATACATGCTTTCTGTTAGTCAAAACACAATTCTGAGCAAGAAAAATTGACCTAATTCTTTCCTATTTGATGTGATGTTGAATAGAGCCCAGGAGATTTATTCCCTTTAGTTGTCTGTCTACTTTAGGATCAAAATCTGCCTTTAGGATTATTCTCACTAAGAACTGGAACATTCCATGCTTCTTACAACATCTAATTCTTTGAAAAATTTGCCTAATTCTTTTCAGTTCCTCCTGTTATCAAGTCCTACCTCAAGGAATATGTTGCTCCTGTTGATCAATCTGTCACTCTGCAATGTGAGGCTGAAGGCTACCCTGGGCCAGAGATCAGCTGGCATAAAGATGGACAGCAAATAATGGAGTCCATTAGAAGAAGAATTCTTAGCACTGGTGCACTGCAGATTGTGTTTGTACAGCCTGGCGACGCTGGCCGTTACATGTGCATAGCGGCAAACCTCGCAGGGTCCAGCAGTTCTAGCGTGGACCTCACTGTGCACAGTAAGTGGGACTGTACGGAAACAATGTGCATTATGGGAGCGTGAACCTACGGAGGGTAAGGTGCTAGGATGTAAGGGAAAAGTTCAGGAAAACTATGCTGCTTAATTGGGTGAGTTTTATTGGGTTTGTAGTATCAGCCAGTTGCTTGAATTTAGGAAGAACGTTACATCTCCTTAGCTCAGTTTATACTTTGTTACAAGTATTTCACACATTTCTCTGGCATGCCGCTTAATGGTGGTCATTGGAGACAAGAAACAATACAGAAGAGCCAGGCAGTGGTTTCCTCAGTCCAGTATGGGATGCTGTTAGCAGTAGTGCTTGGATAATACATGGAAGTAAACCTTTTTAATAAACCTTCTCACAGTTCCACCCAAGATTCGCAGTACAGAGACGCAGTACACAGTCACAGAGGACTCCCAGGCTGTTCTGTCCTGTGTGGCTGATGGGATTCCAACACCAGCAATAAACTGGAAGAAGGACAATACACTATTAACAGAAATAGTAGGAAAATACCGGGTTGTGCCAGATGGAGACCTCATTTTGGACAATGTTGTTGTAAGTTCCATAAATCTAAGCTATGATTTGACAGGTTTGGCAGTAATAAGACCCTGCTTCTCTTAGTTTTCACCCACTTCTGGAGTAGTCTTTGTTTTATTTTGTTTTCATGTTTTTCATGTTCCAAAGTCTTTATAAATGTTTCATTTTCCACTGAGGAGTAAATTATCTGTGAAAAACTTGTAGTGATAAATTCTCAGGAAGGGCATAAAGGAGTGTAGGTCATCTTTCAAATTTAGAGGATGTAAAAGAGTTCAGATTGGTGTTTCTACTGAAAGCTTGTTCCAAACCTTCTGAGACTCTCTTATCATTACAAGTGATAGTGTTGTATAGGGTACATCACAGTTGAAATTTCCCGTACGTGCTTTCTTTCAGCGTGAAGATGCTGGCAGTTACACCTGCATTGCTAAAAATGCTGCTGGAGAAGATGCACATACTGTCACCCTGATAGTTCATGTTCTTCCAGCTTTTACTGAACTTCCTGGAGATATAGCTTTGACTAAAGGAGAACAGCTCAGATTAACTTGCAAAGCAATTGGTGTACCTGTACCCAAAATAACATGGACCTTTAACAATAACATCATTCCAGGTGGGTAACACCGGGTCTTAATGGTCATTCCACTGTAGAGTTGTTTTCCCCCGTGCGGTATTGCAATTAGTTCAGGATGAGGAAGAAAAAACAAAAATCTAGAGAGAAAAAATTTGTTAGGCAGTGATTGCATGAGAAATATCTTCCATATTGTGCAATCACATCATTAAATTGCCTCTGAGACAAAGCTGTAAGGAAGATAATTAAGAAATTGTTCCTATTCTGTAGCCAATAATGTAAGACATTAAAAACATTCAGTATCTGATGATATTTCCTCAGCATCCAATAACTAATGCTATTCCTCTTAAATATGAAGAAAACCTCAGCAGTTCATAGAACACAGATGCACAAGGTTCGAAATTAAAGGACAACTTAAATGAAGACATACGTGTGGGCAAATGTCATAGCAGTGACTTCTCTGTGCACTTCTGAGGTTTCTCAGAAATGAAAGGGCACAGTGCCATTAAGCTGTGTTGCTGAATAGCGCTGTGATTTAAACTGTCTTACGACATACTGGTCACTGACATGTATACACTTAAAATCACTGAAGTAACCCTTTACTGTGTGTTCTCCCTTCAGCACAATACGATGATGTAAATGGCCATAGTGAACTTGAAAGAGTGTCTAAAGATGACTCTGGTACCTACGTATGCACAGCAGAAAACACAGTTGGCTCAATCAAAGCTATTGGTTTTGTGTATGTCAAAGGTATGTAAAACAGCAGTAGTTGTAGTCACTATTGGACAGTTTCACACAGCCATCTGTTCTGATAGTAGTATCATAGAATGGTTTGGGTTGGAAGGGACCTTAGAGATTGCTTAGTTCCAACCCCCCCGCCATGGGCAGAGACACCTTCCACTAGACCAGGTTGCTCAAAGCCCCATCCAACCTGGCTTTGAACGCTTCCAGGGAGGGATCATCCACAACTTCTCTGGGCAACCTGTTCCAGTGTCTCACCACCCTCAAAATAAAGAATTTCTCCCCAATATCTAATCTGAATCTACCCTCTTTCAGTTTAAAACTGTTACCCCTGGTATTTGATACCTTGTCTATGGCTAAATGAGAAAAATCAAAACAGGTTGAAATTCATGCTTCAGAAAGTTAGAAATGAGTAATCCCTACCAGCAATTTCATTAAGGGCATTTTATTTTGACTATGCTATTTCTCTGCCATCACTTGTTTTTTCAGAGCCTCCAGTCTTCAAAGGGGATTACCACTCCAGCCGAATTGAGCCCTTGGGTGGCAACGCTATGTTGAATTGTGAAGTCAGAGGAGATCCACCTCCTACCATCCAGTGGAGCAAAAAAGGAGTTGGTGTTCCAATTAGCAACAGGATCCGACAGCTTAACAATGGTTCTCTTGCTATCTACGGCACTGTAGTGAGTCACTGGTCTGTTACGATGTATTTCTGCATTGTACTTGATTAATAAAGTTATTCCAGATCATATTGTTTTGAAAGAGTGAGGTTAGACATTTAATCCTCTTCTTACTTTTACCTATAGCAAATGTTGTTTTAATTCAGACTAGAATTAGACTCAAATTACTGTGACAAAAAAAAGAAAACCAGGGGGGCTATCATTTTCTTAACTGTCAGAAGGACTGAATCTACATACTAATCATTGGTGTATGAAATCCTGGTCATACCCCATTAAATGGGACTTTTGCTTTTGACCTTAAAAGAGTCTGGTTTCTACCCAGTCAGGTCAGCTGAAAAGCAGTTGCGTTCTCCATGTGCAAACCTCTTAGCATCTAAACTGCTAATATGAATGGCAAGACCCGTTTTATTTTGAAATGCAGTTAAAAATAGCAGCTCCCTTGAGGTCAATTAAATTAAAAAAAAAAAAAAAAAAGAAAGAAATTGATCCTCAGAATTAAGGAGTTGAAGGAAATAAAAAGTAGAATAATAACAGTAAAAATAATTCACAATATCAGATTAATGTTAGTAAAAGCAAAATGTGGGGATACTCTAGAATCTAACTGGATGCCTCTTAAGATCTGGTGCATGCCATGTTGTGTTTCAGAAAACTCACCTACAGGAGGTGCACTGTTACCTGAAACCCTCATTACATGTTGACAGGTTATATGACTACTTGATTTTTCCTTTCTTCAGAATGAAGATGCTGGTGACTACAAGTGCGTGGCTACCAATGATGCTGGTGTGGTAGAACGCAGTCTGACGCTAACGCTTCAGAGTAAGACTCAAAGTGATAAGTTTAATGCCACTAGATCGGAGCAATAACTTACTTTGGATAGGTGTATGCAGCTCCCTTTTGAAGTTTTGGAGATTGGCCACTGCACTGTAGGTTAAGATTAATCTCATCTTTCATCATTAATATTTAAGAGTCTAATTTAAGCTGGTGATTGAAGTCAAAGAAAAGGATATAGAGGGTGATTCAGCCAAATCTTAGAAACCAATTTAGAATGGGGTGAATCACCTTCTGAAAGGGCCCATTTCTCTTACTTGACTAGAGAGGATATCTCTATAACTGGATTAAACTAGACTCTTAACTTTTAAATTAAGGAATTTGAGAGATGAATCCCAGCTTTCACTGACAATGTTTTATTTTTGGCAGAAATAATATTTTAGAATTGTTTTTTCACTCATGGTAGAATTTCTGAACATCCCTTTTCTATTACAGCCTCAAGCAGTATGGATCTGTTACTTAGTCTCAGTTGCCTCTCGAAATGATTAATAGCATCTTTCTGCAGGTTTTATGAAAAGCAACACGTTTTAGCAATAAAGACGACTGTGTGCTCATATAGTCAGGCCTCAATCCCAACTTTGGTCCTCAGGTTGCTACATATTAAAAATAGCTTATCACTGTAATTTTAACTTGCATATGTTTTGACAGTGGAAGATCAACAAGAATAATTTTAGTCAAAGATAAGCTTAAGATTTTATCACCCTCGTTCTGACCAGACCTTTAATATTCAATACAGTGAAAAAAATGTAACCATGTGCTATTGACTGAAGAAACTCTTCTCTTTCAGGTCCTCCAGTCATTACTGTTGAACCTGTAGAGACAGTTATTGAAGCTGGTGCCACAGCAATGCTGAACTGCCAGGCACACGGAGAGCCGCCTCCAACCATCAAATGGTCCCGCCAAGGTCATCCAGTTGTGAGTGATGAGAGAGTGACCGTCCTGTCTAATGGCTCCTTGCGTATTGTTGCAGCACAGAAGGAAGATACGTCTGAATATGAGTGTGTAGCAAGGAATCTGATGGGATCTGTTCTTGTTAGAGTACCACTGACTGTCCAGGGTAAGTGCACAAAATATACGATAATGACTATCAAACTGGTAGAGTCACAGAATCACAGAATTGCAAGGGTTGGAAGGGACCTCGGGAGATCATCTAGTCCAATCCTCCTGCTAAAGCAGGTTCTCCTAGAGCAGGTTGCACAGGACTTCGTCCAGGCGGGCTTTGAGTATCTCCAGCATTAATTGTGAATAAACATGATCAAGACTTTATCTTATCCACCTTTTGTGGCTTAGGTATTTTATCCTGACTTCCATATGCACATTAGGTACATGTTAAGCCTAGTCCAAGATGTCAGCGGTTTTCTACTTCATGTAACTCTGTTCCTTCTGTTATACTCATCCAGCTGTGTGAGACAGATGAGTGTGAAGGATTGAGAGACATAAATAATATGAGAAGATCTTGAACTAGATCCCATCCTCAGAATATATATCATAACTTAATTGTACCTCTAAAAAAAAGCATTTAGGAGCGTAACCATTTCAGAGCAGCTGAAATACTCTCTGAACTGTAGTAAGATATTTCTGCAGTAATGAAGACGTGAAGTGAGCTGGATTTCCAAGCATGGCTTATGAAGTGCATTTTTCACTTTGCTGTATCAACCTAAGAGAGTTATAAGCACAAGCACATTACAAACAGAGCATCATTTTTACCATTGCAGTGCACGGTGGATTTTCTGACTGGCTTGAATGGCGAGCTTGCAGCGTAACCTGTGGTCAAGGTGTTCAGGAGCGAGTCCGTCAGTGCAACAACCCTCTTCCAGCAAATGGTGGGAAGAGATGTGAAGGGCCCGATACAGATGTACGCAGCTGCCACAACAAGCCATGTCCAGGTATTTCTTTAATGAATTGACAGTTTTAATATGCCTTATATTAAGTGCCCTACCAGTGAACTGTTATCACCATGGATCTTCATGACAGATTAATTTTTCTAAGAAGTTGGAATTCATTTTGACTTTTGTGGAAAGGAAGAGAAAATTTCTATAAATACCACAAAAATATTTTTTAATTAAAACTGTGGGGTTTTCTGTTTTGTAGTGGATGGCAACTGGTCAGAGTGGGGGCTATGGGAAGAGTGTTCAAAGAGCTGTGGACAAGGTAATAGGACCAGAACCAGAACCTGCAGTAACCCACCAACTCAGCACGGCGGGAAGCCCTGTGATGGCAGCGCTGTTGATTCAGTCATGTGTAATATTAGGCCTTGCCCAGGTAAGGGAAGAGTGGTTTACCATCAGTTGCACAAGGGGCTTCCCATATAGGTTTCTTTTTTCCTCCAAACCTGAATTCTCTCATCTTGTTTCAAATTATTAAATTATAAAAGAATTAAGCCTCCAACTTTTTTGTTTTAAAATTACTTGTAATTTATTGAATGGCACTAGTTCTTGGAAACAGAAGTCACAAAAGTAAGCGCAAGGAATATTCTCAGCAATTTCTCTTGTTTTTTCCCCCCCCTAATAACAATGTTAATTTTGTATTTTGGTGTTTTCCGGTACTGGTTACCCATGTTCTCACAGAGTAAAACTCACTACTCTAAACCTATTATTGCAAAGCCAATTAAAATGAAAAAAAAAAAACAAAACCCAAACAAACAAACAAACCCAAAACCCAACTATTAAAAAGCCATGTAAAACAGGATAGTTAAAAATTTAAGACATTATCTGTATATTTTCCTCTGTTGTTTTAATTTTCAGCCATGTCTTTCTCCTAACTAGCTGAATGTTCAGGTTTCTTTCTTGTCTTGGTAGCACAACACACGTTGGACAGGTTGTACTTTATTCATAACCCTTCACCACTGGCAGGTTTCCTTCCATCCAATTTTTATTATATTGATTTTTCCCTTTTTCCCTGGCTCTGCTACCACCATGATGCCAAATGTTCATCCACTGGCTTGAGAGTAATTTCTCCAGATCTTGGCAACAAAGCCACTTCTGGCTTCTGCTTACTGGTAGCC